TTCGCATGCAAATGAAAATAAAAAAGATCAGATATATATATATATATTCTATCATTGCATTGACGGCCTAAACTAATATGTTGGATTTTATTTCCATGAAAGCAAAGAAAATAGAAGATAAACACACAGACACGAAAGAAATATTGAGTTTTGTATGACTGAGATAGAAATACGAATGACTTCAGCAAATAATCTTAATTATATGAGTTTTATTAGAATCTACTACTAGTATTCAAATTATAATAAGCACGAATGTTTTTTATCAACTCAAGAATAGAGATAGTTAACGATCTGTGAATTTCAACATTAGAAATAGAAATGTGTGAGAACTATATCGATAAAAAACACATTGAACTTCCTAACAGTTTAATGTTCACTCAATGTCAGAACATTATTTGAACATCTGCATTCACAAATTTTTCACTCCATTTTCGATTCACAGGATATTCCTCTAAATATCATTGAAGTTTCAACGTTATATCTATTTTCATTCGGTTGCTGAAGAGTGTACATTATATCAGTCGAAGACAAAGGGGTAAATTCTAATTCAGTACTTTAAAATATGTGAATCTCAAGATATTACTCTGCAGTAATGAGAATTCTGCATTATCAATCACTTCTTTGTGGAGAAAGATACACAGCAATATATAATTCAGTTTTTTGGCTTGCTTGCTTTCATACAAAAGAATGTGAGTAAAATTTGTCTTCAGACCGCTGGTATTCTCGAACCAGCGAGAAATGAAAAATTACAAATCAATCTAACTGGCATCTAAATTAGCCTAAATAAATGATTTCATTCTTCTGATCATAAAAGATCATTCTGATCTGAAAACAGATTGACATACTGCTGCAACAAAATACATGTTGGTATCTAATGTCGGGCTTTATCTAGGTTTAGATTCTCGTAGCAAATGTGAGATTAATGGAATAAACTAATAAGAAAGTATTTTTCAATGTTTAAGGTGATTAACTCTATTTTAAGACTACAAGTAAACTTACAATGAAATATCGAAATTTTGAAGAAAATTCATTCTATTAGGATTTGTTTTCTCGAGTTATGGTCATTCGTAGAATTTAGACCTTCTTCAAGATATTTAAAAAACAATTAAATGACATATGCGAATCTGAAAATATTCTATAATTCCAAATCAGTTAGTTTCTCCTACAATGTATGAATATACAAGGAGGTATTTTTATTTGATTATTCCAAGAAGGATATTTCTATTGGGGACTGAAAAATTGAAAGAATATTGCAAAAAAAATCTACTGGATTTATGTAAATCACAGAATTTTTCTTTTCATGACGTTTAACACATTCAAATTGAACCAAAAAAAAATCTTAACTTCAAAGAATGAACTTTAACAATCATTCTCATCCTCATCTGAACTTTTTCTTTTATCCTTTCCACCTTCATATTCTAATGTAATGTCGACATAAAAACAGAGATTTAAATTATTACTCTAAGAATTCCAAGAAGATAAATCCTATTAACGATTAATTGTTTTCTTAATATTCTAAAAAACAGTTTGAACTTCTGTACACGATCATAACTCATGAAGACAAGTCTCAATAAAATAAGTTCTCATTAGTTTTTCGATATATATATATATTTATCTAGCATTGGCCTAGACGAATTTGAAACCGAACGCTAACACAGACATGTTTTCAATTTTACATGAAATACTTTATTCTATGTTGTGCGCAATATACTAAATCATTCTTACCTTATCGAAGTTTTGACAACAAGTAATGTAGACAAAGAACTGCAAGAGATTTTAACGTTTTATTTATTTATTTCCCTGTCATAGCAACATTCATGCTTTTATAAAGAGTTGACGACAAACAGCAGTTTTGCTCTAAGGTGGAAAAGATAATTACTCAATCTTTTTCCAATTACTATGTAAATATGCGACACTATGAATCAGAACGAAAACCCACGTATTCGTGATAAATGTATTTGAGGTGCGTCATTATCACTATTTCATCTTAAGTGTGACGAAGGAATAGTCGAAGTTTCAAACACATAAGCAACGATGTTTTTTTTTCCAATGAAAACTTGAATTATTTGTATTTGTTTATGTAGGATGTAATTCGTGGATGTTGTGTGAGTGTGCGTCTGGGTGTGAATGTAAGTGAGAAGATGACTCAGAGCTTTATTTGACAAACTATCAGATTTGACGACTTCTCTCGCTTAAGTATTTTATGTTATGTTAAAAATCAAGATTAACATTGATTGTCTGACAAGATAACATGAAAAATATTTTCTTTTATTAGATGATAAATGTATTGATTCGAATTGATTTCAAATACAATACGAAATCCAAAACGATTGATATATGTAAATATTGATGCAAGGAACAGTTCCAAACGAACTAGAATTGTAAATGATATTAGTTTAACAAATATTCTACTAGATTAAGGAAATAATCTTTGATGTTAATTATTTTTATCAGAAGTTACGCCCCCCCCCCCCCCCCCTCTCTCAAAATTCGATCTCAAGCTAGAAACGTTCGAGTAGCATGAAATTTTTAGGATATGTTAGAACTGATGAACCATGGCAATGGTAAAATTTTCAGCTCTATATCATGATGCTGTAGTTTTACACACTTTTTCAAACAAAAACAAACTATTGGCTACAATGAAGCTTCTTCGAGAAATCTTGGAGATGCGATCAAGAACCTATAAAATGAGAAAAATCGAAAAAGATTTTCGAATTTTTTCAAAAACATCTTGTTTTTCGAATAGGGGATGAAGAAAATCTTTAAAAAAGTTTCAAATAAGAAGATTAATAAATTTTGTATAAATACTCTTACGAAGAAGATAAACATGAATTTTGTCATACATGTCATTTTTGGATGACTTAGTTTGAAAATGAATAATCCATTGACAAAAAATGTCGTTTTTCTAAAAGCATAAACTTGTTGTCTAATTAGAATCATGTATATTCAAAAATAGAGCATATTATATATAATCTATTTTACACAAAAAAAAACAAATAATCCGTGTCATTCATCGAATTGCACATTACGTCTTCTTTCATTGATTTAAATTAAAACTACTAGAATTTTGTAGGAAAATAAATTCTGTATTTTCTAACCTTGACAACTATAAATACTGTACAAATAATTTAGTTGAGAGGCATGAAATTGTCATAATTAGTTAAATATGACAAGATTTATGATGAAGGACGTTGATTTGTGCTTCAAACATTTAACTTAAAAAGATTGTGTACTTGTTTCTTTCGTTACCTGTTATCAAATACATTGCTATTTTTTGAGATTTTAATATACAAGTATATTATTCAAATGATTCTTTCATGAAAATTGTATGTAGCAATGCTCAACTACAGATAAAACTTATGTACAAGTTTAAGCTCGATTTATTATTATGAAAAACTCTATGACGATTTGCTTCTCTGTACTTTCATTGTTAAGATATTGAAATTTTATTGAGTTTTTTTCAAAATAAAGCTGTAGTCTTCATGAAAAATTTGAAATTGAAAATTGACTTTTCTTTTAATCAAAGCTTTTTGTTGAAAAATCCAGTTAAATTCTGATATCTCAAGAACGATGGTCTGAAAAACAAAACCATTCTCTAAACTTTTCTATTACTCACCAAGTGAACATTGTCTCTATTACAAAAAAGTAATTTGACATCTTAAGAAGTTCTATTATGAATTATAGTCTCTAATGGCTAGCAGATGGGTTTTTTTTCCAACTCGAATAGCCATAGAAAAATGCCTACAATCCTAAACTTCGATGGAACTAATACGATAGATAACTAGAACTAACCATTAAAGAATCAAGAATGAATCGATCGACAAAGTTCTTATTTGTCAGAGTTATTAAGTAAAAAAAAGATAAATAAGTGCAATACCCATTACCATTCATCATCATTCTCATTCTATTTAAACCATCAATGTAAGCTCATGTCTCATGAGAGAACGTTTTCAATTGATCAATCACTTTCTCACTAAAAGCTAGTCAATTTCTAGACTATCAATTATGATGGTTTGATAGAAAACAGACTTTTCAGATTAACAAATTTTTTCTTGTGACCTATTAAGATTAAAGAGCATATCAAATCACCTAGAAAAACAGTAACTTATTCTGTTTCACATCAAATTTTTTTTTCAAAAACTACTACAGCCGTTTTTAGATCTATAGTTCAATATGAAAACTTTCAAAACAATATTAAACTTACTTAAATATTTTCTTTTAGAATATAGAAAAATCTACTCTATAAGCTAAATATAGATATGGCTAGTATAGAAGATTTCTGTCTATTACTGTATATGTAATAACATAAATTTTTCTCGTCCTATCATACACGGATAAGCCAATCTATGCTTTCCGATCAATTTACATGAATATTTATAGTCTATTGCGTTGTTTAACCTTTTTAATCCATGAATGTCCTCATAGTACATTTACAAGAGCTTTACATATAGTGCAATATACAGAATAAAATATTGAAATAATCACTACAAAATCTATGGCTTAACTTTAAAATCAACAATATTATTTAAATCTTCTAAAATGATATAAATATTAAATAACATGCATTGGTTTTTTTTTCTTTCAAACAAATTTTATGAATGCTTGCTAGTTGAGTATTCATCAGGTAGGCATTTTATAATCTATATTTAGCAATACAATCCATCAAACTTATCAAATGATTATAAGTTCGTGACTTATCAAATCAATAGAATATTGAGTATTCATGCTTAATATGACATGTAGACAAATATATGTATGTAGGTTTTTGGCCGATTTCACCTACATAAAATCATATCATCAACCATTTTTTTTTTTTTTGTTTTGCTTAACTGACTTGATTCTAATACAACATAGAAACAAAAAAAAGAAGAAGAAGAAGACAGACGAACAACAAAGAAATACACACACACACACACACACATAAAAGAAAGTTTGTTTGTTTTATTGAACGGTTTAATATAGAAATAAAGTCAAAAAAGAGAGGGAAAGAAGTTTTTATTTTAACGACGTCTTGCTAAATTATTCATATGATTACGTTGATTATTATTATTATTATTCGAACGAATTTGTGTTCGATTTGTTAATGATGAATCTTTAATTGTTGTTATTGTTGATGATGAATTTTGTTTAGCATGATGCATTCGTTCAAAACGTGGAGCAACAAATTTTAATTTTTGACCATTATTATTTAACATATCATTTATTGTTAATGATGATGAATTAATTTTTGTTTTAATAATTGGTGTTGATAATGAACTTATTTTATTATTATTATTATTATTATTATTTATTGATGTTTCTATTGGTTTTACAGCAGCTGCATATGATATACGTTTTGGCGTAAGTGATGATGGTGATGTATTATTTGTAATATCATCTTTACTATTATGATGATCATATTGTAAAGATGATTGTTGTGAACAATCACTACGACTAGCATCACTAGCTGATTGATAACCATCATCTGTATCAGGTGTTGATGAACGATTTTGTTGAATTTTTTGACTATTAAGAGTATTTTCGGACGATAAGAATAAATTTGACGAGACTTGATTAATTTGTTTATCGATATTCATCGATAATAATGCCTCGTCATGATTATTATTATTATTATTAAGAGAAGTAATCTCTTGATCATTATTATCATTCTCATCGTCCATAATATTATGATTTTGTTTCATAGATGGATAAAGTAAAACGAGTAACCATGTTGGTAATCTCGCTAATAGATCAAGATCATCATCTTGTTGTTGTTGTTGATGTTGTTGAATGAAAGACGATGAAGGTGTATATAAATGAGAATAAATATCAGGTGAATAAAGTAACCAATCCCAACAACCTGACGTTGACGATGATGATGTATTTGTATTAATAGAATTTTGTTGTGATGTATTAATTATAATCGATGTTTTTGTTGATGTATTAATAATTGGATTCCAATGTGTATTTGACGTTTGATAAGTTAATGATGACGGTGATGACAACATTTCATCACTATAAAAACCGGTAGAATTAATATTTTGATAGTCCGTACCAGTAACTAGAATAAAGACATAATGATAATCAAAATATGTAATGACAATGAACACGTCAATGTTATACATAAAAGAAACAAGAAACGATCAAAGAATGGAAAAGACAAAAAAAAAAATAATATATACTTCCTTACGCACTTACCGAGTCGAGAAGAAACAAAAAAAGAAAATGACTCGAGAGCAAAAAAAAACTACTAAGAAAGAAAAAGATAAAGAAGAAAACTGACAAGATACATCAAAGAATATTCATCAAGTGGTTCATCAATAAAACATTACTGATGATGGGAATACCAAAAGGAGAGAAAGAAAAAGAAAGAAAAACTTATTATCATTGTTCAATAAAACATCAACTCAACAATCTATATATATATATACACATCATCAGCTGATCATCAATTGTGTACTGTCATATGAACAGATGATGTCTATATAATTAGCAGTTCTTTTTTTTCTCTCTGTACATTCTTAACATGGCAAAGTAATTATTTTACTCTATGACAAACGAACGAAGATAATTGACGATCCCTGCTTTTTTTTATTCTTCGCATCATATAGTTGTGTGTGCGTGTATGTCGACGAGCAAACAACGGAATATTCATTCTAATTATGAAGCGAGAAAGGGGCGCCGGGGAGGAACGTTTTCCATTCTGCTTCTTCTCCTTTTTTTTTTTTTTTTTTTTTTTTTGTTATTTCTGACACTTCAACAGCCTCTCTTCATTCTTGGCCTGACTGCCTTTCAATTCATAGAAACAAAGGGACGACGAACAGGAATATTGGCCTTCTGAACAAATGAGAACTACTACTATACTTAACCATTTACATACACTCGACAGAGCAACTTTATAAATTAGTCAAAAAAAAAAAAGCATCTTTATTCTTTGTTTCTAAATTAGTTGTTTGAATCTGTCCTTTTACTCTATACAAATCGAACGAAAACATGACATATCATGGCCATCTAATCAACAAATATCTTCCCTATAGACAACATAAATTTATTACATCGACTTTTTTTTTTTCTGTATAATATATTTATCAGATACGTGTCATACAAGGGTAGCGGTAATAATGATTTTCAAAATGAGTCTAATGACAAGAAAGAAGAAAAAAAAAGGTTCCTTGTGTGCGCTATCGGCATAAATCATCAGCAATATAGCGTAAAATTTTTTTTTTCGTTAGTATATTTTTGACAGATCTTATTGCTATTGGCATTTTGATTTCCTTAGTACTCTCATATGCACACACTATATGTCTCCAATCTAGAATGATGTCGTTTCTTCTTCATAGAAATCGTTCTAATTTAATTTAGATTCTATCGTCGTTCGGCTATGTTCATAGAACACAATGGCGTTAGATAGGAACCGCATACATGAGTATCTACAAGTAACAACCCATCTAATTGATCGAACGATCAGCTTGCTAAAAAAAAACATGAGTGGTTGAATAGAATAACTTATACGACGAGCACGACTACTGTCGTCGTTGCCGCTATTCACGTCCAATATTATTATCATTCATTACGCAAGACCAAGGAGAACGGCTGTAGTAGTTACAGATGGCGAATGGCACAATTAGTTTTCTTATATATAAATAGGTACTGAATACTATTGATCAAAACATTGTATATAGGCACCTATGTATACATATGTAACTGCCTTGGTTTTCTCTCTCGCGTTCTCTATTTGTCTACTTATAAAATAATGAAACCTTAAAAAATGTAATAAATTACTACACTCATATAAATGATTAACCTTATTCTCAAGTGTAAATGAAATTTGTTCTATAAAAAAATTTCTTTTTTACCGTTAACTTCATCAGTGTGTTGTATTGCATTAAAATGAACAAATGATTCATTCTTTTCATTTATTGATACTATATTAGCATGTGTTCGATTTGTAATCGATGATTCATCACTATTACAATAATATGAAGTCCTCAAATAAGTTCGTTGTTGTTGTTGTTGTTGTGTTGAATTATTATTCATATATACATGCCAGCTTGGTGGCTGACAGTGTTGTTGCGGCGGATACCACATCTATATATATATATATATATGGCTTTGTCTTTTTTTTTTTTTCTTCGAAAATTTTAAATCAGTCGTATAGAAACGATATACTGGACAGCATTGACGGCTTGTCTAGAAGAGTAGAAAAATGAATAGAGTGAAAAAGAGGTATACATAGCGAACATGTACATGACGATGGTAATCAACTGCTTCGCTCGTTTTTTTTCTTCTTCTTCTTCTTCTTCTTCAATTGCACAGGTAAAGAGAAAAGAAAGAACGATGTTCGTCAATGGTGAACTTGCCCGACCGTCGTCCACCGCCACGACTATTCCTATTGCACTGTTGATGGAACACAACTGACGGAAAAGAAGAAGAAATGGAAATGACATTTTCTCTTTCTTAGCATCGTCCGCCTTTTCTTTTTCCCCCTTTCCTCTTCGTCATTCTGCCTGATGGATCTCCTAGTTGATATAAGGGAGTAGTACTATGCTTAGGAGTTGCTATAACGCGAACGGAAGAGAGAGAGAGAGAGCAAGGGAGAAAGAGAATACTCGCTACTCATGCCATCCGTCGGACGTATATACACAGCATGATGTGAGGACAAGAGAACAAGAAAGTTGGTGCGGCCGCTATTGCCACATAATTTCAACCCATAAAAGAAACGACAACTAGACGATAGAATTTCACCCTAAAGCATTGAATGGCGCACATATTTATATATACTTGCACATGGACGAGTAGAAAAATATATAGAGGTGAAAAGGTTGTAAACATTTGAATGATGATGATAGACTTATACACATTATGAATAATAATAAGTGTAGAAATAGTTTATAGACATGACACATTGAACTAAGTTTCTATCATAAAGTTGGTTTTTTTCATAAATGAAGCACATCGGTGATGATAGTAATGTCGGAGAGAACAAAGAATATATATGTATATGTCTGTACAGATGTTGTGTTTATCGTAGTCAACTTATTCTACAATCTGATCATGAATAATCATCATGTTTAAATATAATAAAATGCTAACTCTCTGATCTGCTTTTTTTTTCCTGAATATATACGAACATAAGCACGTTCAACATCATCCATCTGTCGTTTGAATGTTATGTCTAATACTAATCGGTAGTAGATAAATCATACATACGTGCACTATTTATGTATTCAGATAAACTTCCTCTTCTTTTCTTATCTGGATTTTTTTCTTTTTTTCTATGATTTGATTTCAAAAGCATACGTGCTTATCATGATGAATATTAATAAAAAAAAAAAAAAGTCAGTTTTATGAATATGGCTGAATGACTACCATTTACTCAAAAGACTCTACTTTTCTATTCTTATATGCATAACCTCAAAGAATGAAGAGGACGATTGATTCTATCAAAATATTGACACACGCATTCACTATATGTACAATCTGATTGAAAGTAGTGCGCAAAAGAAAACGAAAAAAAGAAAAAAGAAAAGAAAAAAGACATGCTTATGTGTGTGCATCAGCTGAATGGCGCTGTAAACGACATTTCGATGACAGAATGATTATTTGAGTAAGTATGCATATATGTAAAAAGAAAAAAAAACCGTAAGCATACAAGCATATTTGATCCATGTTGTTTTATGTATACAAGTGTACGTAAGTGTATACATAATGTCTTTTTTCTTTTTATATATACATATTCTTATTTTATTAGAATATTTATGTACAAGATTATTCTCTAATAGATTGAGATAGAATGGAAATACAACGATGGTAACAGATGTTTTGTTTATCAATTGAGAACGAAATACAAAGTTCGATTATAGTGCAAAGTTTGCTTTTGTGAAGACAAAAAAAAAGAAAAAGAATACATAAAGAATAAATTAAAAAGAAAATGAATACTATTGAAATACAATTTCGATTGGGACGTGAATGTCGATTAGCAATATTAGAATCACAAGATTTATTAACATTTGATTCATTAATTCATTTAGCTGAACATACATTTCCATCATGTAAACATCCGTTTACATCATTTATTTATATAGATGATGATGGAGATCATGTAACTGTATCAAGTGAACTTGAAATGGGACCATTAAGAAATTTTTATTTTCGTCTATGTCAAGAAGAAGAATTTTCTAAACCAATACTTAAACTTGAAACTATTGTAAATCGTAATCATGCAAATTTAACAATCGATACAATGTCATCATATTCAGATGAATCTTATAATACAAAACAAAAATTTTTAAATCTTGAAGCACATGTTGAACATATATTTTCATCTGGTAATATGTTATCACTTGATATGCTTGAAATAATTGGTACTGGTAATAGTAGTATTGTACGACGATGTCGTAATCGACAAACACAACAAATTCTTGCTGTTAAAATAATTTCACTTGATTTTGAAAAAAATGAAAAAAAACAAGAAATTGTTACTGAACTTAATGCATTAAATACTTTAAATTCAGATTATATTGTACAATTACATGGTGCTTATCTATATGAAAATTCTGTACATATATGTACAGAATATATGGATCGTGGTTCACTTGAACAATATATTGGTATACTTATACCGGAAAATGTTCTTATACATATAACATTATCAATGATTCAAGGTCTTATTTATATGTGGAGTAGAAAAATAATGCATCGTGATGTTAAACCATCCAATGTTTTAGTTAATAGTTTAGGTTCAATTAAATTATGTGATTTTGGTGTTAGTCGAGTATTAGAAACAATTGGTCAAAAAGTTGCATCATTTATTGGTACACATAAATATATGGCACCAGAACGAGTTAGTTCAGATGAATATAGTATACCATCTGAAATTTGGAGTCTTGGTATGACTATTCTTGAAATAGGTCTTGGTAGATATCCATTTCAAGCAGAAAGTTCTTATCCACCAATAGCTGTACGACCTTTTGAATTAGTTCAATGTATTGTTTATGAAACACCACCTACATTACCCGCAAATCGTGGTTATTCATCAGAGTTTGCTTCATTAATTCAACAGTGTCTATCCAAAAATCCTGTTGATCGACCATTACCAACAAATTTCTTTGAAAATCCTCTTCTAATGAAATATAATAATAGCGATACGAATCGAAGTCGAGCAATAATTGCTGAATTTTTCAATCGAACGGCTGTTGCCACTACTGCAACAACATAAGTCATTAACTATTGAATCAGTCGATTATCACCAAGACATAAGATAACAAAAAAAAAAATATTTTATTTTATTTTTTTATTCACAAAAAAAAAGATGAATAACGCAGAAAAATCATTACTGAATCATATGTGTTACAACAACAGTCGTCAAGCCAAATAAAAAAAATAGTATAAAATTAATGAATAATAACGTTGTGAAGCAACCATAAACGACAAAAAATATCAAATATTCAAATTCAATTGACCTATACTCAACTTGATCTTATCTTACCTGTTGAAAAATAATATATAAATCCTCTGTTCAGTTTTATCAATTATTCAAAATTGAAAACAAAAAAAAAATGAAAGATCTTATGTATAAAAATAAAATTTATTTGCATATTACATTGTTGAAATAAAAACAAAACAAAAACAAAATATCATGTAGAAAAAGATGAAAAAAAAAAAATTTGAAATATATTTCTTTTTTCTTCTGTTTATTGTATATATATGTATAATAAGCACATTTTTACTTGTAGAGAAAAAAAAGTTTATATAGCACAAAAAGGAAAAAAAAACAAAATACTTATTGAGTCAAATGCCATGACCCAAAAAGAAGATGATTAGAACGTTTTTTAAATAGACGCCAATAAAATTTAAATAAATTTGAATTAAAAAAACCAATTAATAAAAGAAGAATAAAATAGAAAAGTAAACAAAGATGATAACGATGTGTAGAAAAAAATGTTCGTAAACGAGATCTTGTTACTTGATTGATTCTTAAAAAAAATATAAAATAATAATAATTTATAAAAAAATAAATAAATAATTTACTGTATTAATTCATTGGATTCTGAATAGATAAGAATATATTTGACTCTTACAAGTTCATTGGATGTAACAACAACATATTTATCAGGTACAGCACCAGCTTGACTATCACTAACAATTCTTCGTTCTTGATTATTTGATGTTTCATCTAAATTAAAACTTTGTTTTTTTTTTTCTTTAATAAATAAAATTAATTATTTACTTTCAATTGAACGTTTAACATGATCAGGTTGATCAATTATTTCACATAATAAAAGACAACTAAGTCTTTTACCTAATAAACTATTTGACCAAACAGTTGAAAATGGTGAATAATGAAGTGATACAGATGGTTCTAAAGAAAAATATGTTCCCGAACCAAATAATGATAATTTATTCATATGTCCAAGAAAACCAATATGAAGTATTGAATGAAGATTATCTAAACGTGTACCATGATATGCATAAAATATTTTATATTGATCATTTTGTGTTAAATTATTAAAACGTTCATTACGAATTTGATTATAATTTATTTCAAATGCAAAATTTGGTGTTGGAACAGATAATTGATGTTTTACAAGTGAAAGTACCTAAGAATATATATTTAGTTTTTTTTTTTTAGAAAATATTTAAAAAATAAAACTCGAATTCTTTTGTTTTTTTTTTAAACATACAGATTCAACTGGTGTCATATTTAATTTAAATGTATCACGAGTTAAAAGCCAATTCAATAATAAAACTTGTAAGTCACTTAATTGATCCAATACAGATAGAAATACCGTTACAGGTGGTAAACGAAAGACATTACGCTAAAAACAAAAAAAAAACATTTTTGAAAGTAATGACATCGAATATTATCAAATCGTTTTTAAATTAGATTACATAGGTTCTTATGAGCTATGACTATTATAATTTTATATTAGACCCTTATTTATAAGTGTTTTAACATTCTCGTAAATTCAATTCATAACATGTGATAAGTTTTTATGAACATCATTAGAAACTATTTGTTTTTAAAAGTTTCAAGTTTAATAGTAAAATCGATAGTTTATTTATATCAGGAATAATTTGTTATAGAGAATTTTATATCGGACGTAGAGATATTCATAGCAGCTTTTAGGGAGATGATTAAATTGCATGAATTTTCACTCAATCTGAATGTCTACAAGCTCAATAATTAGAATCGTGATTAATCAGAATAGGTTCGACCTATGTGACATCATGAACTCATACAAACAAATAAATAGAAAACGAATTAATTATTGAATAGTTCTCTTCATTTGATAAATTATTATTATAAAAACAAAAATATAAGAAAAATTCAATTTAATCAGTTTGAAACACACACACACACAAACGATGTTTGCTTTCAAGCATTAGACTGTTACGTGAGAAATTTTTTTTTTTTTTTTAATAAAAGAACCTTATTTTGAAATTAAAAGACTTCGTATTATAACAGATGTTTGCTAAAGGCTTCATTGTTGACATGAAATAAATTTTGAATTATTTATTCACCCAAAAATTGATTACTCTGGTATTGAGATATTAGATTTTTACACAAGAGTCGTTTGCCTCAAGCATGTGATAAAAATCGATTTCATGCAAAAAAAAAAAACTTCAATATCTCGAATTGTTGATTAATTTTGAAAGATCTTATCAAGCAAAACATAAAAAATTTTCTTATCATTTAACTTGATGTCAGGACAAGACGACATGATAAATATTTATCACGAGTTTTTCTCTTTACTTATTATTTATCAATGAAAAATCATATGACAAGATTATTATTAATACTATATAATTAACTCACCAATTCATCATCATTATATCCAATAAGAAATGGTGGACATGGTTTAAATACTGTTTCACGTTTATATGATTCAAATGCTGTTCGTAATAAAGTTAATTGTAAATCAAATGCATGTAATTCTGTTGTATTTAATGCATTTAAACGTTCAGATAATAATTGTTTTTCTTCTTCAATATTTTTTATATTGGACATTTGTTTTCTTTTTCTTGTTTTAAATTATCTGAAACATATCATATATATCGATGATAAATAGCAGAAGAATAAGAATTAATCTTTGGTTTTTTTTTGTGTCTGTTTCTTAAAGACAAACGAACGTTAAAGTATGTATTGTCTGTAAATATAGTAAAAAAAAACGAGAGAAACATGGATTGCTATACAAAAAAAAAAAGAAATGAAATAAGCAGAACAAAAGGATAAGGAAGAGAGTATATGTGCTGATTTATTTTTTTATTTTTTTTGAGAATACGAAACATACGTGTCGTTTCTTAAATGGTTATTTGTTACTTTCAAGCACAATAACAACAACAAGAAGGGAACAAAAAGAAAAAAAATGAGTGACACCTATACAATATCGAATAATAAATGTGATGTAGGTAAGACAAAAAGAAAAAAAAAAAAGTAAGGGATATTATGTTTCTCTCTTTTAATCAACACACAAACAAACACTCACACACACAACAGTAGAGAGAGAGAAAAAAAAAATGTAGGACAAGCATAAAGAACGAATAAATGTTTGAATGAGAAGAACGAAAAAAAAGAAGAAGAATCAATATCAAACAATTTTTTAATGTTATATATGTTTTGGTTTAATATTATCATCATTTTGACCAGTTGTTTTTGAATAATTTGAATATTGTGTATGATGTTGATATAATGGACGATTAGTATTTGTTTGTTGTGGTGGTATTAATGGTTGTCGATGTTGAAATAATGTTTGTGTATTATTAAGATTATTTCCATTATTTGAAAAATTTTTACTTATACCACTCATTAAACTAGGTACTTGTTGAGTTTGTTGACGATTATTTGTTGTATTCATAGCACCTATTGGCATTGGTTGTCGAGCATATTGATTTGGTGGTGGTGGTGGTGGATAAAATTGTGCTTGATTTGATGATGATGTTTGTTGTTGATTTGTATGAAATGATTTTAAATTTTGTGATAATAATGATGGTGGTGGACCTTGTTGTTGTTGATTTGATGTTGTTGATGGATAATTTGTTGGACGTGATAATGATTGTGGTGGTGGTGGTTGAGACATTAATGGATGATCATTACGATCTATTGAACCAGCACGAGCAAACATTTGTGGATGAGGATGATGAAAACCTTCATTTTGTCCATATAACTATAGAAAAAGAAACAAAAAACAATAAAAAAAAAGAAATTCATAATTTTATATTTACATTATGTCCAACAGGTGGAGCATTTGAATTAGATGGTTGAAAAAATGGTGGATAAAATCCTCCATGTGCTAATGGATCTTGAGTACCATAAGGTGGTCCCGGAGGTGTTTGTAATTGTTGTTGTGGTGGTGTTCGATAGTATGGACCACCTTGTGGTCGACCAGACATCATTTGATTATCTTAAAAAAAAACAAAATAAGAATTGTTTCATACCAAAAATAAGACATACTCATATATGCTTGTGGTGGTGGTTGTGGTTGACCAATCATATGACCACCATGATCAACTAAAAATGGTGATGGATAACTAGGCATTGGTGCTTGTGGTTGTAGTGGATTATTTTGTGGTGGAGCTAAAATTCAAAAATTTTTAAATTAATAATCAAAATTTTCAATTGATGAATCACTTTTAAAGTAAGACTATATGAGTTATATAGATTATAAATAATTATTCTTATATTGTAAAAGTTTAAAATTCTTTGTAAAAAAAAAAAATAGAAATTACCAGATATTGAACCCTGTGATGTATGATGATACATTGAATTTGTATTTGGTACATTTGGTGGTGGTGGCAAAAAGATATTTGTATTTCGATATTGAAAATTTTGTGGTGCATACTAAATAAAATGAATAATAATATATAAATCATCAAAAACAAAAAAATATTTTATATATATCTGTGTTAGTTAAACAATACTAGAACAGTATATTCATTTCTATATATAAATAAAAAGAAAGTAAAAGCAAAGATATGACATATGAATAAATAATATTTATATATATATATACACAAGGACATAAATTTATATTTAATTGAATAAGATATATGTATTTGACAACGATAAAGATAAAACTTACGATTTGTGAAGATTGAACACTCGAAAAATCTGAATTTATCGGATCTGTACTGGTAGTATTTGTAGTTGATGAATAAATCTATGTATATATATATATGTGTATATATAAATATCGAGGACAGGAATATTTAATTTAATTTAAAATCTCAACTCATAATAAACTTCTCTTATTGTTTCTTTTTTTTTTTCTTTCAGAAATAAAATATTACTCGATTAAATTGTTGTTGCTGTTGCGGTGGTGGTTGTTGTTGTTGTGGTGGTGGTAAAAGATTTTCATAGAATGGATATGGATGTTGTTGATGTAATGGATTAACTTGAGTTTGTGGAAGTATATGTTGTTGTTGTTGTAATGATGCTTGTGATATAGGTGGTGGTAATGGAGTAGTTGTAAATGTTTGATAATTTGTTACATCAACTTGATCTTGAATATTCGGTGCAACTTGTTGAGTTGGTTTAACCTAAATGAAAAAAAACAAACATTTTTTTTTAGCAAAAAAAAATAATCTATATTTATAATGTTCAGTGTCTGTCTGTCTGTTTCTGTGCCGGGTCAGAGATCAAAGGTTGAAGGTCAAAGGTCACATAACGCTATAAGGGGAAGATCTTCAGGGACTATTAAATGGGTACTTATAGGTCCCCAAGGGCTATCCTATGGGAATAGCCATAGGTCCTCAAGGGCTATCCTATGGGGATACTCATAGGTCCTCAAGGGCCATCATATGGGGGTACCCATAGGTCCCCAAAGGCTATTCTATGACGGTACCCATAGATCCCCAAGGGCTATTATGTAGGGGTACCCATAGGTCCTCAAGGGCTATTCTGTGGGGGTTTCCATAGGTCCCCAAGGGCTATTATATTGTGATACGCATAGGTCCTGAAGGGAGATAAGGCTATAAGGCCGAAGGTTGCATGGACTATAAAAATATGTGCGATATAAGAGTATGAGGTCGTAGGGCAACCTATCTATATACATAATATCGAGTGTCTGTATGTATTTTACCGGATGAAAGGTTAAATGCCTGAGGCCATACATTAAAGGAGAAAATAACCGTGCAGTATGCACGGGTTCTCACTAGTATGTATAATATTTACTTACAGTACAAATATTTTTTTGTTCATTTTTATTTGAAATTGTACTTGTTGAATATGTTGGTGGTTGATTAATTGTTGATGATGAATTATTTGTTGACGATATTATTATTTTATTATTTGTATCATCATTTGGTGTTGTTGATGATATATTTGTATTTGTTATTGTTATATTTGTTGATGATGATGATGATGTTGATTTAGATTCTTGTACATAATTATCAGATTTTTTTGAATTATTTGTATTTGAAATATTATTATCTTGTTGTTTTTGTTTCATTGCAACCATTGTATTTATTGTTTGTTCAAGTTGTACACTAAAATTTAAAATAATAAAATAAAAGATGTTGTTGTTTTTTTTTGATTTCATTTACCTTGGATGATCAGATGCATCCCATATAGTTTTAAGTGAATTAATTTTTTGATTATAATCATCACCAACTGTACCAATAGATTGTTTATCATCATAATCCAAAAATGTACTCTAGAAAAAAGATATTAGAATATTTTTTTTTGGATTTATAAACAATTGAATTACTTTTTCAAATAATTGATTTGAACCTAATGATGATATAGTATCAGTCTTTTCATAAGTAGCAGATTTAGTCTAAATTAAAATAATGAAAAAAATAAAATAAAATCAATTAAAATTACTTTATTTTCTCTTGTAGATTTATTATCTGTTATAGGTGGTTTAATTGTTCGTGCTATAGTTTCAGTAGTTTTTGACACTGTTGAATGAGTAGTAAGCTTGTTAATAAAATAAAATACAAAAAATATATATATATATTATATTAAATACAAAATTTACATCAGTTGCTGTACGTTGATGAAGTGATAATGATGGATCATTTGATGACGAAGATGGAACGACTTCATTACCGAATTTTCGATCATGAGTAGCTAATAAACAAGAAAAAATGAATATTAAAAATTTCTTGTTGGTTAGCTATTAAATCCTTTTTTGAGTTCGAACTAGTAAAGGTATTTTAACCTTGTACATGGTATATATGAACAAATCGAATGATCGTATTTCGATCAAAACAGTTTGCCAACAGATAGGTCTATACATAAGTAGAATACAATGAAATTTTCAGTTCAAAAAAGAACATACTCTTTCCAAGATATTAAAGTCCCAAAAAAATAGAGAAAATCCTAGAAACATTCGGTTTGTTCATGTATATCATGTCCTAGACTGAAATTTCAGTACAATGTCAATAACCCTAAGCAGGAGATTTTTTTGTTCTATATTAAAAATGATTAATTGATTAACTTACGTTTTTCAATTAATTTACTTGAATTAGATATCGTATTATCTGTATGTGGATCCCACATTTGTATATTTGACATAACATTTGTTGTTGTTGTTGAATGATTTTTTTCAATTGTATTTGTTTCAATTTTTCTTTCATTTAAATGTTCATCTGTTGTATGTATATCATGTATTTGTTGATTACGTTGTTTACGACGTGTTAAATTTTGTCGATGTATTTGATTATAATTTCCATAATTATAATATGAATTATCATGATCATAATATTGATTTTGATCATAATAATAATAATTTTGATCATAATAATACATATTTGAATTTTGATGATCATTTTTTGTATTATGTTGACGTATTGTTGATGTTAATGTTTTACTATTAAAACGTGGTGGAACTGATTTACCATTACGAGTACGTGTTGTTGTATTTAATTGATTAGTATCATTAGAAATTTTCTTTAAAATAGAAAACAAAAAAATTTTATATATTTAATTTTCATTGTTTTTTACTTCATTTGTTGATTGTTCATCATTAGTTATTGATTTAATTGTTTGATCATTTATTGTTTCAATAGCATTTTGTTTTGATAATTGAGCAGCTTTTTGTTCTTTACGACCACGTTTTGACATAACAACACAAAATTCTTCACCACCATCATCAAATGCTGAACTTTCTTCTTCTAATGCACTTGCTGGTAATGTTTCAATTTTAACAACACCTTTTTTTTCATATAGAAAAAAATAAAAAAATAAAAAATTTTTTTTTTTTATTTGTATATTAATTTTACCAGCAACATTATTTAAATCATAACCTTCAAGAGAATGACGATGTAGATCTTTTTTAATTGTTGATTTTGTATTTACACTTAAAACAAAACAAAAAATATATTTTATATTAAAATAATTTTTTACTTACATTTCTCCATCAATTTTTTGTTGTATATTTGTTTTTTGATTTGTTGACAAACGATTTGTACGATGAATAACAGTTCGATTTGTTTTATTACTACGTTCATGTATATTATGTTGACGTCGATGAATATTATTTTCACTATAACGAGTATTCAATGGTCTAAATATATTGAAAAAAAAATAGTTATTTTTTTGATAATCAAAATTTTGAAATATATGAATTAAAAATGAAATTACCTTTGACTAGAAAAACTTTTTTTTGGTGGTGTTCGATCACGATTTATTGATTTTATTTCATTTGTTGTTGATTTAATTGATTGTTGTTGTTGTTGATTAGTATCTGTATGACCAGAACGCATATTAGTACTTGATTCTGATGCTGTTTCCCATTCTTCACCTTCTTTTTGTTCATTATCACTTGTTGATTGATGACGAATATGTATAGGATTATTATTATTATTATTATTGTTATTATTATTATTATTATTTCCTTTTATTGTTTGTTGTTTACGATCAATTGTTGTTGAATTAGTACGTTTTGTTGTTTTAATTGATGAATGTGTTGGATGTTGTTGTTGTTGTTGTTGATAATGTTCATTTGAATAGTTATAACGATTATTATAATGTCTATGAAAAAAAAAAATAAAATAAAAAATAATTCTATTTAATTAATTACATACTGTTGAGGATGTTCATAATAATAACCACTGGATAAATCATGCATACGTGTATTACGATTACCACGTGTTGTACGACGATTAGTACCATAATAATTATGAGTATTCATTTGCATGGTATCATAATCTAAATAGAAATTTTTTATTATTAAAATTTATTTTCAAGTAAGAGTGAAAGAAGACTTAATCAAAAAAAAACTGACACTTAATCTAAGTTTGTTGAAAAAATATTTACTCTTAGATTTATTGCTTTTAGGAAGACTATAAAAATCGTTTTTTTTTTTTTTTACATTTCATATAACTAGATGCATAAAATTGTCTTCTAAACTATGTATATAAGTCATGAGTAATTGAACTATATTAGAAGAATTAGAAATAGAATGTAATCTACAGAATATATTAGTATACTTAATAGAAAATCTTTTTAATTTATCGTTTACAAGTTAGTAGTGTTTTATCCAGGATTTTTTCTCCGGAGGGGCGAAAAATTATTTTCGGGAAGGCAAGTCATGTATTCGTAGCACGATTATCACAAGTCTCGGGAGGGCGAATTCGATTTTCGGAGAGGGAAGAGCACTCCTCTGGATAAAACACTGCAAGTTAGATTTATTATTGATCAATATGAAATATTTTTTCTTTTACTATTGTTTTTTTTCTTTTAAAAGAAATTCTATGGATAATAAATCATTGTTTTGTTCATGTTTTTACCTTGCATTGAACGTGCATAATTATTTCTATGATGAGAAACTTGTTGATTTTGATAACGTTGATCTTGATGATAATTTTGTTGATCTTTATTTGTTTTTCGTTGTGTATTTGTTGTTGTTGTTGTTTGTTTTTTAGTTGTTCCTGTTGATTCATTTTCTGTTTGTCCAATAAGATTTGATTCATTTTCATTTTTTTCTTCTGTTATTATATTAATTGATTCTTTTGGTTTTTCACTTTCAATTAAATTTGTTGATAGATTTTCAATTGGTTTTGATTTTTCTTCTATTGTCCATGCTGATTGTTTTTTTATAATTTCATCATTAACAATTTTTGATGATTCTACTATAGGATTTTTTGTTTGTTGTTCAGATGATTCATTTAATTTTTTATTATTTATTGTTGTTGTTGTTGTACGATTTGTTGGAGTTTTTTTTGTTTTTGTATTTATATTTGTATTATATTGTGATGATGTATTATTTGATATATTATTCATATTATATGTATTATATTGTTGTTGATGACGAAATGTTCCACCACGTCTATAACGTCCATATGAACCTAATGCAATATAACCACGATGATGTATATTTGAATGATAACCCATTGTATGATGATGACGTTGATGTGTTTGCATATTTGAATCATAATAACCAGTATCATCATCATAATAATCATCATCATTACCCCATGTTGAATCATTTGTTTCATTATAAAAATCATTACGTTGAGAATAATGTGATGAATTATTATAATCTTGTCGTTGAGATTGTGTTGATGTTTTATATTGTTTTGATGTTGTTGTTGTTGTTGTTGTTGTTGATGATGATGTTGGTGGTGGAACATCAGATCTTACACTCATTAATGGTGGAATTGATGCTGTATTTATTGATGTATAACGTTGTTTACGTTCAATTGGTGCTGATTGATGACGATCATTCATAATTGTTTGTGATTTATAAGAAATTGATTCTTGTGGTGTTGGATCATTAGGATCTAATGGTCGTGCTGGTGATAATGGACGCCATGGTGGTTGATTTTTATTATTCATTGTTTTTGTTTCAGATTTTGATGATGTTGGTATATCTGATGAACGAGATGCTATTTAAATAGAGAAAATAATAATAATAATAATAATAATAATTAAAAATTTGTTTACCATTTGAACGTGTTTTTAATGATTGTTGTTTCGTTCGATTATAATCATTTGTTTGTTCATTATAACGATTTGTTTTTTGTGATATATCATCTGAATAATTTTGTTGATGATTAATACGTCGATCATTTGAATATGATTGTTGATAACGATTATTATTATTATTATTATTTGTTGTATAATTTGTATCATCCCAATCACCCCATTGTTCATTAGATTTAATTTGTTGTTCATTATTATCAAAATAATCACTAACATCTGTTGTTTTTGTTTTTAAACGTATATTATTATTTATTGATGTTTTTGTTTGATTTATATTTGTTTTTATTTGTTTACGATTTGTCATTAGATAAGGTTTTGAACGATTTATTTTTATTCCATTATTATCATTTTGAGATTGTGTACTTGATTCACTTTGTGATCGACTACATTTATGAGATGTAGATGAACCACTTACAATAGGAATAGTTGTATCATCATGATGATCATCAGTATCTACTTGTCCACCGGATCTACAAAAAAAAATTTAACTTATGTAAATAAGAGTAAATTCCAAATTATCTCTGATAACTTCTGCAGTCTGTGTCGCGGGAGGGTCTAAATTTCTATCCTATACACTTCAATCGCTCCTTTTAAGATCGTGTTTTACAAAAGTAATTTTTTTCAAATTCATATAGTTAATAAAAAAAAAAAAAAGATTTTTGTATTATTATAAATAATTTACTTTTCATGTAATGATGCATAATTAAAAGAATCCATTTGATCAGACCAACTTTTCATTGCAAATGTTTGACTATCTGTTGTATCATGACGAGGCCGAGATGTTGTTGTTGTTGTTGTTATTGATGTTGAATCAATTTGTAATGATGATGTTAAATTATCTTGACCAGTTGATGTTATTAATGGACGTGTTTGATAACCAGGTATTTGTTTTTGTTCATCAAATGTTTTTTGTATATTTGTTGATGTTGTTTGTTGTGTTAAATTATCACGTAGATTACGTTCTTGTTCATCACGTCGTTGTTTAGCAACAGTTAATGTATTAATTAATTCAGAATTTTTATCATCTTGCATTTGTTTAACATGTTCATCATCTTGTAATAAACGTGAACGTGTTGTTTGTTGTTGAGAATAATTTGTATGTATATTACGATTATTATTATTATTATTATTTGTAGTTGTAGTATTTGTATTTTGTAATACTTGAGGATATGTTTGTTTTGATTGTTGTTTTTGAGAATTATTATATCGACGAGATTTATTATTATCCGTTATATCATTATCTTCATCATCACTAAAACGTATTTTTTCTTCATAATTTACTTCTTGTGATGCACTTGCCCATGTAACATTATCAGTTAATTTTGATAAATCATCAATATCTTTATTTCGTAATATTGTTGGAGTTTTATAATCTGTTGATGTATTAAGACGTTGTTGAGATTGATTTTGAGCATTATGACCATATGGTGACATACGATGTTGTTGTTGTTGATGATGTAATTGATGCATGGACATAGGTCCAGATGCTTGATTTGTTCCATATGGACCGTAAGAATTACCCAAATTATATGACCACTAAATATATATATATTATAGAGAAAAATATGATTGAAGATAAGGTCTTCTCAACTTCTATATATTGACAAGATTATTATATAAAATACGATAACTTCTCATTTTATGGTCTGCAAAAATATCATTTTTTTTAAAAAGAATGAAAATTATCGTATTGAGTCTGTTTAAAATCTTAATATTGTAATTCATCGATGAAATCTTAGTATATATAAAATACTCACTCAATTGATTAGTAAAAAATCACTAACTAAATTTGAACTAATTGCTTAACATTATGATCGATTTTTCGAGAATTTTAATATATGTAAGATTCGGACAATTCAAAATTTCGTTTTTATTTGTCATATGTTGATTAGAAACAAAAATTTTTAATATTCAGAACTTTTGTGTTAAATAAAATGAAAATCATCATCGGATAATATAGTCAAAAGTTTAAAATAAATTTTCGATCGTTAGACTTTTTTTTTTAGATAATTTAATAGATAGTTTTCGTAAATATATTTAAAATTATTCAATACAAATGAAAAAAAAATATATTGAAACTTAATACATTTCAAGACTTTTCTAATCGTTTTTAAAATCTAATTTTAGCTTATCTTTACTCAAATTTAAATATTCAAAAGAAAGTATATATGCTTTTCTCAAGTCAAATACTAGATTTTTTTTATACTATTATAAAAACAAAAACAATTTTTACCATTTGTGGTTGTTGTTGTTGTTGTTGTTGATACATTCGCATATATGATGGATTATTAGAATTTTGTATTTGTGATTGAAGTAAATTATTATTTGTATTAGTTGGTAATATTTGTGATTGTATAGATAATGTAGATAAATTAGTATTATTATTATTATCAATTGAATCTTTTGTTAAATCATTTGACATTAATTGAGCACGACCACCACCTTCTTTCCATGATGCTAAATTAGCTGGTCGAAAACTTGGTCCTTGTGTTGTTGATGATGATATTGAATTCATTAATGAATCTGATTGTGTTTTAATATTTTTATTATTATCTTGTGTAACTAAACGTGGAAAATCATTTAAACCAAGTAAATTTGGTGGTTGTTCATTTGAATTTCCTGTTGTATTATTTGATGTTACTGTACTCCATGTTGTACCACTACGAGGTTTATCAATATCAGATGATATTATAGATGATGATGATATTAATGGTTGTGGTATTGATGGTGTTGATATATGAGCAGGTATTGAATCAAGTTGTTGTTGTGTTGGCTGTTTTAATGGTGTTAATGGACGTGTTTGATTATTAGTGAGATTTGTTGGTGTTTGATTTCCACTAGCTGTCCATCCATGACTAGTACCTGTTGGTATTGTTGGATCAAATGTTGGTATATTTGTACCTGTTTCACTTTTTAAACTTGGTAAATTAGCTGGTGGTGGTATACGACGACTATTAATTTTTCCGAGATTAGCCCATCCTTGAGTACGAGCTTTATGAGAATAAAGAAACAAAAAAAAAATGAATTAATTTTTTTGATGAATATTTTTTTTAAGTATACCTGTTGCTCGACTCGTTTCGTTTGTTCGTGCTTTGTTTACAAAATCATTTGCTTTAACACCAGCATATCGTTTATTTTTATCAATAGATTTACTCGGAACAGACATGATAATAGATTAACGAATGATAGTAATGTAGTGATCATGCGAAGAAAAAAAAAAAGAATGATCCTATATGACTGACTAATTCGTATACTGAGACGACTAAACGAAATATGAATTAGTAAAATAAAATAAAATAAAACACGAAAAGAATATTATATGTGTTTATGATAATTATGAATTTGTCTGTCGAATGACAATAAAGGACAGGAGAGAAATCTAATAAATCTGTAAAAAACCAAAAAAAAAAAAATATATTGGATTACGTAATTTATAAAATAAGAATCATTATAAAGAACGAAGAAAGAAATTTCATAATAACAAAAAATTAATATTCAAGATTATTCCATAGTTTTCTCGTTCTTGTTACTATTCGGATGAAAACATGGCAAGATGAATAAATAAATGAAGGTCTACAAACAGGAAACAATGGCGATACATAATGCACAGATGTGCAAAAGCGACATCTATAGAAAATAAGAAAAAAAAAATGTGTGTATTAATTGAATTTCTTTTTTTTTTGTTTATTATTTACTAATTAAGAAAATCAATTAAAAATAAGAAAATTAAAATTCTATTTAGAAGTAATTAAAAAATTGGTTGCTAAGCAATATTTTTAATAAAAGAGCGCTAATTCGAGTTTTGTAAAACCATCGGATCTGCATAAAAAACGTTTTTGTAATTTTTATTATTTTGATATTATATCAAAATTTGAAACAAAGAAGCTA